ATATGTTAGTTATGTGAATTGCTGGACAGTGTTATTCAAGCCTCTAATTTCTACTGACTTATGGCTACTTTTTTTTCTTTCAATAAATTAAAAGAATTATTAAACTCCATCTACACTTGTGAATTTGACAATTTCTCTAATTTTTTTCTCTAAAAAAGAGTTCAGTGTCCTAAAACTTCATGTGTTCTATAAATTTGAGGGTTTTTTGGTATGATTTAAGAATATCATATCTATTTGATATTTTGATGGTATTATTATGTATTGTTTCTTTTATATGTACGAATAATCTGACTAGTATTTAAGAAATAAAGTCTATTTATTTTGGTTATTAATATAACTACAGAGGCTACCTTCTGATTAATGGTATATATTTTCCAACTTTTTCCTTTTTTTGTTGGTCTTGGGGCTTGAACTCAGGGCCTAGATGCTGTCACTGAGCTCTTTTTACTCAAGGCTAGTGCTCTATCACTTTGAGTCACAGTGTCACTTTTGGTTTTCTGGTGGTTAACAGGAGATAAATGTCTCCTGGACTTTCCTGCCCTGGCTGGCTTTGAACTGCGATCCTCAGATATCAGAACCCAAGTAGCTAGGATATTTTCCAACTTTTAAAAATTATCAATGCATCTGTTGTTATTAGAGTTCTTGATTATAGCCTTTCTAACTGGGGTGAGGTGGTATCTCAGTATTGTTTTGATTTGCATTTCTTTTATGGCTAGGGAGGTTGATCATGCTGGAGGGAATGTGGACAGAAGGGAACCCTACTGCATTGTTGGTGGGAGTGTAAACTTGTTCAACCACTTTAGAAAGCATTATGGAGGTTCCTCAAAAGACTCCACATAGAGCTCCCGTACGACCCAGCAATCCCACTTTTGGGCATTTACCCAAATGGTCACAAACAAAACCATACTAAAGCTACCAGCACAACTATGTTTATTGCAGCATTATTTACCATAGCTAAGATATGGAACCAACCCAAGTGCCCCTCAGTAAATGAATGGATCAAGAAAATGTGGCATATATACACAACGGAATTCTATGCCTCCATCAGAAAGAATGACATTGCCTCATTTGTTAGGAAATGTCAAGACTTGGAAAAAATTATATAAAGTGAAGTAAGCCAGGCCCAAAGAAACATAGGTCCCATGGTTTCCCTTATTTGCAATAACTAGTATATGTCTGAGACAAGCAGAAAAGGTCAGATAAGTTGAGGTTAGGCAAAATGAACTCCAAGATAAGGACTCAAATAGTTTTTCTTTCTTGCTATGGTTTCTAACATATTTATAAGATGATTTCTTTGTTGCTTTTTATGTCCCTTCCCCACAGTAAACCCCTGTTTTCACTGTATTTGATGTTGGTATACTTTGTGAAGGGGAAGGGAACAAACAAATTGTTTAAATAGGGATACAGGTGGACTCATTGCAACAATGAGATGTATAAGACATTATGTTGAAAAACAAACTTTACAACTTTGGCAGTGGGGGCCGGGGGCCGGGAGATAGGAAGGGATGGGAAGGGGGAAACAAAGGAGGAGGCAACAATTCTTGATAAGAAATGTACTCATTACCTTGCTTATGTAATTGTAACCCCTCTGTATGTTATTTTCATAATAAAAAATGATCAATGCAGACATAACGTATATTTCATATAAATAGCACTGAGCTCTGTCTTAAAAAAGTCTTAAAATGTAGTGTTCTAATCTGTGTGTTTAAATGGAGAATATAATCCAGAATGATTTTTTTAATCTGCCATACTGCTATTTCTGTATGTACCATCTGCTTCAGTTTCTCACTGATTGCTTTCAGTGTTTGCATTACTTATTTATTGATACTGGTTACTGTAAATCAATGATGCTACAACTTTTGCCTCACTATTCTTTTATATTGTTAAAAGCTAGTGAATATCCAAAAGAGCTTTTGATTATTGAGTTTACACTCATAATTATTCATGTTATTAGAAATTAAAATAAGGCATTTTGAATCCACAGGATTCAATGAGCACCTTTAGCCTACTAAGCATTAAAAGGCCTTGCCTATGGTTCACTGCCTTTCAGCAGAGCCAGGGCTGTTCTTAAAGCATGGATGGATGCAAGTCTGTAAACAGAGTGAAGGGACATCATGGAGAGCAAATTGACCAATCGTAGATCATATCTGTCCCTAGAATAACCAATTTTGAAGAAATGATGTGCAAATTACTTGGAGAATAGCTTATGTGGTCTCAATACTCTATAATTGTGTATTAGGAGAAAGTATATGGTAGTTTCTGTTAATCTGTTCAAGTGAGTAATTCTAAGAAATTCCTTATGCACGATCAGGACATGGGAAGTTCTAGAAAGTGAGTATATCAACAGCACCCCTGGGCAAGGAATAATTTCATAGCTAGTGGAATACAGTCGGCAAGAATGGCAGGAACATTTATTTTTGTCAAGGACCTTTACCTCATTCTATTTTTTTTCAAAGATTTCCTCCAGTCGAAGCTAAACTGTGGCTAGCCAGAGAGATATAACAAGTCTTTGAGGCCAATCAACAAAAAAAGATTTAGAATGATTTCTATGGAGTTTTGTATCTTTTCTAGTGATGATGAATATATGATTAATTCCTTAGTGGCATTTGAATGGATAAGAAAATGATGAACTAACAGCTGTGAGTCTATACTTTTTAATCTTGCAATCAAAAAAATGAAGCATATTGATGTTAAAAAAGTCATACAAAATAATTGTTTATTTATTTATTTATTTGTGATTATTGTGTCACATAGCTGTTCTTAAGTTTACCTGAATTTCCAGATAGAATATGTACAAGTAGCATGAAGCAGTCAACAAACATGAACTTCCATCAGTACTTGCTAAGCCAGCTCTGTTACCATACCTTATACACACTCAGCAGGGTTAAGTGGTTTGCTAACAGCCCACAGTTAATGAGTGTTAAAGATGAGATTTGAACTAAATATTTATGATTTGATTTTCAGTCTTCTTTCGGCACACTATGATGCCAATTCCATGGGACAAACTTCCTCTGGTCTAATTTATTCCAAATCAATTCATGTGGAAAAAAATAATTTTTACTCAGTGAAATAAAAACATGATTTAAAATGGCTATTTGAATCCCAAGATAGAAGACTCTACAGGTTGAAAATGTAATAACTAACTCATTATTCATAATGCCCCTACCATAAGATTTGCATTTGAAAATTACTTTAAAATCTGCATTTATAGGAGGTACCTACACATAGACCTAAGTACTTTTGTTCTGTGTTAAATATCAGTGGTAACCAGTCGCTATTTCTTTTTTTGGGGGTGGAGGATCCGGTCGTGGGGCCTGAACTCTGGGCCTAGGCGCTGTCCCTCAGCTCTTCAGCTCAAGGCTAACGCTCGCTCTACCACTTGAACCACAGCACCACTTCCGGCTTTTTTCTTTTTGCTTATGTGGTGCTGAGGAATCGAACCCAGGGCCTCATGCATGCAAGGCAAGCGCTCTACCACTGAGCCACCTTCGCAGCCCAACCAGTCGCTATTTCTTACATCTGTAATCCTAGCTACTCAGGAAGTAAATACAGAAGATGGTGGTTCAAAGCCACCCCATGAAGAACAGTCTGTGAGGTTCTATCTTCAAAAAGTAAACAAAAATAAAAACAATAAAATCAAGGCTAAAGGCGTGGTTCAAGTGAAAAAGTGCCAGACAGCAAGCAAGCTCAGCAAATAGAGAGGCCTGAATTCAAACCTAGCTAAAGTTTAAAAAAAAGAGAGAAAGAAGAAGAGACAATAGAGAAACAGTGGCAAAATGCAATCAACAGAATAAATATTAAGTACTTACCTGTAGAATTGAACATTACTAATGATATTCTTGGCTCCTAATTTTACTGACATGAGAAAATGGTATGTTCTAATTTTTTTGGGGGGGAGGGGGTAGATTGTGGGACTTGAATCCATGGCCTGGGAACTGTCCTTGACTAGTGCTTTACCACTCTGAGCCACAGCACCACATTTTTATTTTATTTTTTTAGTGGTTAATTGGAGATAAGATTCTCATGGGGGCTTTTCTGCCCAGGCTGGCTTCAAACCACATTCCTCAGATCTCAGCCTTTTGAGTAGCTAGTATGGATTAAGTTGTAATTTTGAAGTGATCATAGTATAGAAAGAAAGAGGAACCTCCTCGGGAGGTTCTACAACAAATCCAAATATTTGCTTTTTGGCTAAATGAAATATTCTTTATTACCATATATACTACAATGGAACCCAACAATTCTAAATGTGCTGGTCAAGATGGCTTTTCTGAGATCTAAACCACGAACATGATTGAAAGATCAGTATTATTTAGAACCTGAGATTGTCATGTTTGATATTGTGATATGTAAAATTTACTTGATAATGAGATATGTAAAAATAACAGCAGCCTTCATATACCTTTTCAATTCTAGTTTTACATTTCTTTTGTGCAGTGAATATTGTGCTAGATAGCAAAGAAAAAACATTACTTTAAAAGCCATAAAGACATTGTTTTGTAGAAAATGGTGTTTGTTCTGCTAGGGCTAGACAGGCATTAATACAAGTGTCTTCTGTCTGATAGGATTTCAGACTATGTGACTGTATCTATGTGTTTGTAAACATGTGCTCCACTTAGATAACAATTTCATTCTTTGCCAATACCTTTTTCTACTTTACACACAAGAACGATCAAAATCAATTTGCTCTTAACATTGGAGGCAGAGTTCACTGAGACATTATGTCTTCTTGAAATAGATATGAGGATGACCTAGAAGCCAAATCCTATATTACTACCATGAACAAAACCAGAGGACAATTTTTTGAAGTTCCTTATATTTCATGTTTCTGAGATCCTTTTTTTTTCTGATAGTACCAGCATTCTTTTTTCAAAATTAGAATCCTATTTGCAATGTTACTTAAATTACTTATATACAATGACAACAGAATATATCACATTCAAATAGGTTTTTTCCCCACAAGTGCACTATTTTCAAAGACATTAAAGGCATCATAAACTTACCTTAGAGAGGCCCCCTACTTCCAAATAGAAGCAGATAATGAAGACATTCCAGGTGACCCAGAGGGCAGTCCACACCGTATACTGGATAAAAAAGATATGGGGGCGAAAGAGAAGAGAAATGTGGAGATGAAACACATGTATATTGAGTGAATCAATAATAAAATGTCAATAAATCTGTCTTCTGGGAAGAAACAAATAGGGAAAGCTCAGAAAAGAGTTTATGAGTTCCCCTAAGATTGAGAAATTAAAAATTCAATAGTTCCTACTGCTTTCCATGGATGATAGTGGACCTAGATTGATTTCTAAAGTGATTTGCTGACTTGCAAGTGCAAGTGAAATCCAAATGCTCATATTTCTAGGATACAGTAACAAAGAAAGTTTCAGTAATCTATCATTCACTGTATTTTCTGTCTATGTATATGTTATATATATGTACTGTGCATGTATGTTGTGAATGTATGCATGCTATGTATGTATGTATGTATCTAGCTATGGGTATGTATGTATGATATATATATATATATATATATATATATATATATATCAAAGTATCTTTCAGGATCTCTCCATCTATGTCTTTTCTGTCAGTTGTGGAGTTTCAACTTAGGACCTGGGCACTGTCCCTGTGCCTCTTTGTGCTCAAGGCTAGCATTCTACCACTTGAGCCACAGTGCCACTTCTGGTTTTTGAGTGGTTAATTGGAGAAAAGAATCTCACAGGGACTTTTCTGCCCAGGTTGGCTTTGAATCAAGATCCTCAGAGCTCAACTGCCTGAATAGCCTGGATTAGAGGCATGAGCCACCAGCACCTGGCTTGCATCTATGTCTTGATCTCTTTAAGTTTTAAGAATGTTATCCAAAACCTAGAACTTGCATATCTCTGAATAAAAACAATGTTTTAAAATGGATGTGTAGAAGGGCTGGGAAGGTGGCTCAGTGGTAGAGCGCTTGCCTTGCATGCATGAGGTCCTGGATTTGATTCCTCAGCACCACATAAACAAAAAGAAAAAAGCCGGAAGTGGCGCTGTGGCTCAAGTGGTAGAGCGCTAGCCTTGAGCTGAAGAGCTGAGGGACAGCGCCCAGGCCCAGACTTCAGGCCCCATCACCAGACACCCCCCCAAAATAAAAATAAATAAATAAATAAAAATGGATGTGTAGAATAAAGTCAGTGAACTTTCTTCTACTGGGTTATTTTATCGAGAGTAGAACATGTGCCTCTTTAAACATAGACTAAAGACACGGTACCATAAAATAGTTTTAAAGAACATAAATTAACATACAGAATTAAGAACAAACAAGAAGTTTCTGTAATGGCAAAATACCTTTCATTTACATCCAACAAACTTTAAACCTGCTATCCTTACTAATGAACTATTTTTATTGATTTATTATATACTAGGAAATGCCATTGCTCAGAGCATCAGCCAATCTTAATTCAGATATATTTGAACAGACATATAAAAGTAGATAGTCTTAGGACTCACCTTACCCACTCATTTATTATTTTATTTATTTATTAATTTTTTTGTTGGACCTGGGCCTGAACTCTGGGCCTGGGCACTGTCCCTCAGCTCTTCAGCTCAAGGCTAGCACTCTACCCCTTGAGCCACAGAACCACTTCCAGCTTTTTCTGCTTATGTGATGCTGAGGAATCGAACCCAGGGCCTCATGCATGCAAGGCAAGCACTCTACCACTAAGCCACCTTCCCAGCCCCATTGTTTAATTTTTAAAATTATCTTTAAGTAGTTGTACAAATGAGTTTTCATTTAACAAAACAGTTTATGAATACAAATCATCTTGTTCAGTGTCACCGCTCTCACTATTCTCACCCATTCTTCCCCTACCAGCCTATTCTGCTCACTTTTTTTTGCAGACAAAAAGATCAAATAATTGACAGATAGAACAGCTTGAACGACTGAAGATATTACTTGCCTGCAGTGTAACTGACAAATCAAATTTCAATAGTTTCTCTACTCATTTTATTGTACCAGAAATGTCCATGAATTTTAATATCTTATATGGGAAAACTAATTAAATAATTATTTTATATCAGTAATTATAATCATTGTTTGCAGTACTTAAAATAAATATTGAAATCATTTGCTTGACTTATTATGTGCTGTTTTAAACAATAGAAATATGAATTTTTAGATATTGTATAAAATAGGCATGTTATTAGAAACTTTATCAGATACATTTAACTATTTGTGAAATTCAATTTACATTTTATGTGTTTCTCTCATTTCTATTTTTCTAAATCCTTTTAAAATCATCTCAGATAGTTTTATAATATTATAATTGGTATTTCCAAGACAATATCATACTCTTTTGGGAAAGAGTATTCTGTTTGTCAAGAATGATAATCCTATTATCTACATCCTTAACATTTTTTTTTTTGGGTCCGGTCATGGGGCTTGAACTCTGGGCCTGGGCGCTGTCCCTCAGCTCTTCAGCTCAAGGCTGGCACTCTACCACTTGAGCCACAGCGCCACTTCCGGCTTTTTTCTTTTTGCTTATGTGGTGCTGAGGAATCCAACCCAGGGCCTCAGGCTTGCAAGGCAAGTGCTCTACCACTGAGCCACCTTCCCAGCCCACATTTGATGCCAGTCCTAAGGCTTGACCTCATGGCCCCAGCACTCTGAGCTTTTTTGCTCAAGGCTAGTGTTCTACCATTTCAATCCCAGCTCCACTTCTGGACTTTTGGTGGGTAATTAGAAGAGCCTTTTGGACTTTCCTGCCTGGGCTGGTTTTGAACTGTAATCCTTAGATCTTACCCACCTAAGTAGCTAGGATTACTGACACGGGCCACTGGCGCTTAGCTTAATATGTATTTTTTATAAGCCACAACCACAATAAATTGTTAATAGAATAGCACTTAGCATGTGATATTTTCCATTCAAAATGAATCTAATTATAAATGTATCAGAATAGGAAAATAATAAGGAAAAAAACAGTAAGAGGGGTTAAGGAAAGGGCATTACGTAAAACAAGACTAAAGTTAGGAACTGATTTAAAATTACAGAAGCATATGATCCTAGATAATTGGATCCCAGGTCTAAACTCACAAGTATTATTTTAGGAAAGTCAAGCTATTCATAATTACAATGGAGGTACAAAGAAGCATCCTTGAAACAATCCCAACAGATTGAGTGATTGACGAACACTCAGTTCTCTCAAAAGTTGTACTATTGATCTTCTTTTGTCCCTTCACCAATAAACTACCAGGTTGAGCAGTTCCCAAATAGTAGCTGTGGTGCTTTTTGTGTCCCTGGTATGGTATTATGCACATTACTGAAGTCAAGTCAGGTCATGTGGTTACCACATTAAAATGGAGGCAAGAGAACATCTTTTGTTCCCTTAGTGAGCATCAGTCATATGGAAAATGAAAAGTTTTCTTCTGGAACTGACATGTTTACTTTGATTGATTGTATTTTAAGCTCTTTTAGGAAAAGGACTATAAATTATCTCTAAGTTAACTTTGACTAACCTTATTACTTTGTCAAATGACGAACTGACCAAACAACTAGTTTACCAAAAATTCATTTCACTCACTTAAATTCTGTAATTGTCAAGGTTTTAGGAATGAGTGTATCTAATATTATGCATTCTGGAATTAATGTATGTATGATATGAATGTGCTAGATTTTTGTTTGCCATGATATTGTAAAGTTTCTTCTAATATGTTTTTGAGAACACCAAATGCACTAATGGATTTGAGGTTATGATGAGATGCAAACTATGTTTCTGAAGGAGATGTAAGCCTCAATGTGCACTTGAGACAGCATTTACATCACAGACATACAGAACAAAGGTCATCAACAAGATAAATATGTGCAATGGAATTTACTTGGGCAGAAACACTGGAATGGACTTATGACCGTACAGAATAATGTTCCTTGCCTTCTATTTAAGTAGGCTAGTTTTACCAGTAATTCAACTGAAATGAGAATTCACATTAAAAGTTATTTTTTCATTTATAATGAACATACTTTGGTTAGTTCAGATGCCAGGTCCAGCATACTGGACCATAGAAGTCTTAATTTCTCCGTGTGAGAACACCACTCTGTCATAATCTGTCATCATCTCCTATTTTAAATTTAGGGCACATAATTTAAACCTTAGTTTGTGTAGACAACACCTATAAAAGTGAGTTAATAATGTCCTTGTGGTCGATGTATTTCCTAAATGCTTCTAATTTTATGAAGACATTTCAACATTTTTAATTGAAATGGACTTTAGAAGTGTTCCCAATCTATTTCTTCCCCATTGTGCAATTTGTCTATAACATCAATTATTTTTACTGACTTGAGTTTATTTTCCAATTATAAGAAAGGCCATTTGGTCATACATTCCTTCATATATATATTAATCTGTCACAATTTGTACTTACAATTTCTTAGATGCACAATAAAATAGAGTCAGATCCTTGCTCATTTGTATTTCTAATAATTTTTGGAGTTTACTATTCATGCTCAGAATAAGTTTAAGAGTTTCATGCTATCTGTACATTTTAATGATGAATAAAGCAGAGCAAAATAAACAAAAGACCAGTCAATTACTTATGAAGACTGTGTATTTTGAGATACAGTAAGTTATACATTAATTCTTAAAAAGAACCTATGATCAAGTTTTCAGGTTTCTTTTTTTTTCTTTTTTGTCGGTCATGGGGCTTGATCTCTGGGCCTGGGCATTGTCCCTTTGCTCTTCAGCTCAAGACTAGAGCTCCACCACTAGAGCCACAGTGCCACTTCCGGTTTTCTGGTGTTTAATTGGAGATAAGAGTCTCATGGACTTTCCTGCCTGGGCTGGCTTTCTCACATCTCAGCCTCCTGAGTAGCTAGGATCACAGGTGTGAGCCACCGGGCGCATGGCTAAGTTTTCAGGTTTTTATAAATGAGCTAAATGTGGCACAAAGAAGGTAAAGAGAAGTTCCTAGGCTTCTCAGCCAGTTACTGTGGAGTGAGATTGAAATCTGGGACCAACTAAACTGAGACCTAACACTCTCAATTGTCATGCTGAGCAGTACTAGGAAAGACTATTATGATGAAATAGTAGAAAAGGGTCCCTATTTAACAATTCAC